AATTAGCCATGGGTGGCACATGCCTGTAATCCTAGCTACTTGGGAGGTTGAGGCAGGAGAATCGCTTGAACCTGGGAGGCAGAGGTTGTGGTGAGCCGAGATTACGCCATTGCACCCCAGCCTGGGCAACAAGAGCGAAACTCCATCTCAAAAAAATAAATAAATAAAAATAAAAAATAACTTCCTCAACATGATAAAAGGTTTATAAAAAACCCATAGTTAACATCATACTCAGCCGGGAGTGGTGGTTCATGCCTGTAATCCCAACACTTTGAGAGACTGAAGCAGGAGTAATGCTTGAGCCCAAGAGTTCAAGACCAGCCTTGGCAACATAGAAAGACTCTGCTCTACAAAATGTAAAAAATTAGCTAGATGTGGTAGTGTACCCACAGGTGGTTCCAGCTACTTGGAAGGCTGAGGCAGGAGGATCACTTGAGCCTGGGCAACAGAGTGAGACCCTTTTTCTTTTCTTTTTTTTTGCCTCAGCTACTTGGACGGCTGAGGCAAAAGGATCACCTGAGTCCAGGAAGTCAAGGCTGTGGTGAGCTATGACAGTGCCACTGCACTCTCAGTATGGGCAACAGAGTGAGACAGTCTTAAAAAGAAAAAAAGAGAAAAAAAAAAAGGTCAGGATTGGTGGCTTACACCCATAATCCCAGCACTCAGGGAGGCCAAGGTGGACAGATCACTTGAGGCCAGGAATTCAAGACCAGCCTGGCCAACATGGTGAAACCCCATCTCTACTAAAAATTCAAAAAAAATTGGCCGGGCATGGTGGCTTACGCCTGTAATCCCAGCACTTTGGGACTCCAAGGTGGGCAGATCACCTGAGGTCAGCAGTTCGAGACCAGCCTGACCAACTTGGTGAAACACTGTCTCTACTAAAAATACAAAAAAAATTACCTGGGCCTGGTGGTGGGTGCCTATAATCCTAGATACTACGAAGGCTGAGGCAGGAGAATCTCTTGAATTTGAGAGGTAGAGCTTGCAGTGAGCTGAAAGCGTGCCACTATACTCCAGCCTGGGTGACAGAGTCAGACTCTGTTTCAAAAAAAAAAAAAAGGTGCCGGGCGTGATGGTGCACTCCTGTAATCCCAGCTACTTGGGTGGCTGAGGCATCAGAATCGCTTGTACCCTGGTGGCAGAAGCTGCAGTGAGCAGAGATCACGTTACTGCATTCCAGCCTGGGCAACAGGGAGAAACTCTGTCTCAAAAAAAAAAAAGAAAAAAGAAAGAAAGAAAAGTATATGTATATATCCAATAGTGGGTGAAAGACTGGAAACATTCCCCTAAGATCCAGAACAAGACAAAGATGCCTACTTTCATTGTTTGTATTCAACATCTTATTAGAAGTTCCAACCAGAGCAATAAAGCAAGAAAAAAGAAAAAAAAGGAATCCAAAATGGAAAAGAAGATATAAAACTGTATTCACAGATGAAACAAGCCTATACAAGAAATTCTGAAGAATTCACACAACAACAAAAAAATTATTAGGGCTAACAAATGAATATTAAGCACAATAGCAGGTTAAATCATCCGTCTTTTTTTTTTTTTTTTTTGGAGACAGAGTCTCTGGCTCTGTTATCCAGGCTAGAGTGCAGTGGCATGATCTCAACTCAATGCAACTTCTGCCTCCTGGGCTCAAGTGATTCTCATGCTTGCTAAGGTGTGTGCCACCACGTCCAGCTAATTTTTGTATTTTTAGTAGAGACAGGTTTCACCATGTTGGCCAGGCTGGTCTCAAACTCCTGGCCTCAAGTGGTCTGCCCGCCTCAGCCTTCCAGAGTGCTGGGACTACAGGTGTGAGCCACCACACCCGGTGTATCATCTGTATTTCTAAACACTCACAATTAATAATTCATAAAAGAAGTTTTAAAAACAATTGCATCTACAATAGCACAAAAAAGAATAATTAGGAATAACTTTAACATCCGGGTACAGTGGTTCACACTTGTAATCCCAGCACTTTGGGAGGCCGAGGTGTGTGGATCACGAGGTCAGGAGTTCAAGACCAGCCTGGCCAAGATGATGAAACCCTGCCTCTATTAAAAATACAAAAAATTAGCTGGGCGTGGTGGCAGGGGCCTATAATCCCAGCTACTCGGGAAGCTAGGCAGAGAACTGCCTGAACCTGGGAGGCGGAGTTTGCAGTGAGTTGAGATCGTGCTACTGCACTCCAGCCTGGGTGACAGAGCAAGACTCCGTCTCAAAACAACAACAACAAAGAAAAATTAGCCGGTTATGATGCCGTGCACCTGTAGTAGTACCAGCTACTTGGGAGGCTGAGGTTGGAGGATTGCTTGAGCCCAGGATTTGAGGCTGCAGTGAGCTACGATCACATCATTGCACTCCAGCCTGGCTGCTGGAGCAAGACCCTATATCAAACAAAACAAAACAAAACAAAACAAAACAAAAGAAAAAACTAAGAAAATGTAAGATTTATACACTGAAAACTATAAAACATTCCTGAAAGAATTAAAAATCTAAATAAATTAAAAGATATACCATGATTATGGATTAGAAGGCTTAATACTGTTAAGATGGCAACATTCCCCAAAGCAAACTAGAGATTCAGTACTGTCCCTATCAAAAGCCCGATGGCTTTTCTTGCAGAAATGGGCAAACTGATCCTAAAATTCCTATGGAAGTGCAAGGACCATGAGTAGCTAAAACAATATTGAAAAATAACCAAGTTGGAGGACTCATACCTCCCAATTGTGTGGACTTGGCATAAGAATAGATGAATGGAATAGAAATAAAAATCCATAAATAACCCCCCACATGTATGGTCAATTGATTTGACACAGATGCCAAAACCATTCAACGGGGAAAGAATATTCTCTTCAACAAATGATACTGGGACAACTAGATGCCCACATGCAAAAGAATGAAGTTGGACTGTTCCCTCATGCTACATATAAAAATTAACTCAATGTGGATCAAAGACCTAAATATAAAGAGCTCAAACTATCAGAAAAGACATAGGGGAAATCTCCCTGACCTTGGATTTGGTGATGGTTTCTTAAATATGATACCAAAAGCACAAGCAACAAAAGAAAAAATAATAAATTGGGCTTCAACAACATTAAAAACAGAAAGTGAACACAACTCACAGAATGGGAAAAACTATTTGCAAATCACATATATTGTATCTGTGACCTATATTATGTTTTATATATACACAATCTCCTTAAGTTTGTGCTCTAACACAACCAAACCTGAATCCCACTGGACTTCCTAATATAACAAGCAGCATGTTTCCTTCTCATCTGAGCTAACTGCCATGAAAACCATTCTGCCTAAGCATCAGACTTGGGAACCACTAGCCCAACAGGTGCTTATGTAATTCTATTCTTCTAGGTCCAGTTTTAAGAAGAAAAATATGAGGAGGGTAGGGGGAGTTTATGCAAGACAAGTAGAAATGTGGAAGAGGGAGCCAGGAAAAAATTTTAAGTTCACTAATTCTGAAATGGCTCTTTAAAGCAAAAAGAATCAGCAACTAAGGACAATCAATCACATCTAAACAAGAATAAGAATTTTAGTTTTAGAGCATGTGAAAAGATGTATTGGAGGAAAAATCCTGAAATGTAAGTGAAGCTATGAGAGCTTTTTTGTTTTTGACAGGGTCTCACTCTGTCAGCCAGGTGGGAGTGCAGTGGCACAATCACGGCTCACTGCAGTCTCGACCTCCTAAGCTACGGTGATCCTCCCACCTCTGCCTCCCAGGTAGCTGGGACTACAGGTGTACATCACCATGCCCAGCTACTTTTATGTATTTTTAGTAGAGATGGGGTTTTGCCATGTTGCTGGTCTGGAACTCCTGGGTTCAAGAGATCAGCCTGCCTCAGCTACCCAAAGTGCTGGGACTACAGACCTGAGTCACCACACTTGGCCCCCCCTCTTTTTTTTTTTTTTTGAGTTAGGGTCTTGCTCTGTCGTGCAGGCTGAAGGTCAGTGGTGCCATCTCAGCTCACTGCAGCCACAACCTCCCAGGCTCAAGAGATCCTCCCACCCCAGCCTCGTGAGTAGCTAGGACTGTGGGAGCACACCACCATGCCTGGCTAATTTGGTATATTTTTTGCAGAGGCAAAGTCTCACTATATTGGCCAGGCTGGTGTCAAAGTCCTGGACTCAAGCAATCTTCCCACCTTGGCCTCCCAAAGTGCTGAGATAACAGGCGTGAGCCACCACGTCCAGCATGAGATTCTTATTTTAAAACAAGGTATAGACCAGCTGTGGCAGCTCATGCTTGTAATCCCAACACTTTGGGAGGCCGAGGTGGGTGGATCACCTGAGGTCAGGAGTGTGAGACCAGCCTGGACAACATGGTGAAATCTCAACTAAAACTGCAAAAATTAGGTGGGCGTGGTGGTAGGCGCCTGTAACCCCAGCTACTCAGGTGGCTGAGGCAGGAGAACTGCCTGAACCTGGGAGGCGGAGCTTGCAGTGAGCCAAGATGACGCCATTGCTCTTCAACCTGGGCAAAAGAGGGAGACTCCGTCTCAAAAAAAAAAAAAAAAAAAAAAAAAAAGACCGGATGTGGTGACTCACACCTGTAATCCCAGCACTTTGGGAGGCCAAGCAGGTGGATCACCTGAGGTCAGGAGTTCGAGACCAGCCTGGCCAACCTGGAGAAAATCCGTTTCTACTAAAAATACAAAAATTATCCAGGAGTGGTGGTACATGCCTGTAGTCTCAGCTACTCATGAGGCTGAGGCAGGAGAATTGCTTGAACCCAGGAGGCGGAGGTTGCAGTGAGCTGAGATTATGCCACTGCATTCCAGCCTAGGCAACAGAGCAAGACTCCGTCTCAAAAAACAAACAAAAAAACTGGCTTAAAAAGAAAAACAATAAAAATATCTGTGAGTGGGTGGGGGGGTCTCCAGAAAAGAATAAAATTTTTAAAAATTGGCTTTACACAATGTCTGACTATACTTTTATTCTAAAAACTCTGTGACATAAGGCTGGTAAACAGAAAGAAAAATCCAACAAGGACTTACTTGACCGTAGGACATATTAAGATGTTTATTATTTACTAAGAGTAATATGTATACATTTGCAGCAATTTGTACAATCCAACTACATTACAATTCACAGTAACATACACTAGCTCTAATCTGCCTTGGACACAACTAAGTCTCCTCAATAGACTATTTTATTGCCAAACTTACATTCTGGCTTTTATAATCATTTTGCAACACCTGGTAAAGTATACACCTACAGCTTTGTCATAGAAATGCCCCTAAATGCCCTTCAGAGAGCAGAGGTGAATACTTTCTCATGAAGAAATGCCAACTTTTCTAAGCGAGTTCGTTTCAGTAGTGGGAACCATTCCCAGTAGGATAACTCTACCACACGGTAGCCAAGCCGAGCCAGCTGCCGCCTCTTCATACTGTGCAGTCCAAGGAGATCCCTGGAGCCATAGCAATATTGGTTCCTGTTTGTGAACTGAATAGCCAGCTTCATTCCTGGGGTCTGCATGCAGGCTGAGGGGCACAGGCCAGCCATCTCCATGGCCCCTGATTTATCTGCTACATTGCAAAGGAAGCCCCCCAAAGGTACAGCTGCCTTATTCTCTAACTCCATGGGCTGCTGCCCAGGCTCTGACTCAGTTTTGCCCTGGAAATGTCCTCTTGCTTTCCCTTTTAGTAACTGATTCATCAAATCATCTGTAAGGCTGACTCCCACATGCTTAAGCCTTAATGTGGCTACATTTTCAGCTGGTGTGGCTTCTCTATTAAATGGTAATGGCTTCAGGTTAACATCAAGCTGGACCTCTAAGTCAGAAGATCGGGTATGAGGCAAAATCATATGGTGCTTGACGTACTGGGGCCCCCCCAACATGGTCTCAAGTAAACAGAGAGTTTCTAAGAATTCAGGCTTTGAGTTCATATCCTTCTCTGCTAAATTCCACAGAAATTCAGACCCCTCTTGCTGAAGGTGAGTACTAAGACGATTGCCTCTGTAATCTGGACACTCAATGCCAACTGTACCGTCGAGGGTATACAGTTCCTTAATGAGGTTAAACTTGGTTCTCTCCTGAGCTAACCTGACAAACCCTGGACTGAGAGCAAAATCAATTAACTCTACTGGGAAGTACTCTGAAAATGCCAGGCCCAGCAGGCAGGTGGGCAGGTGTTCTGGGTACTGGTTGAATTCAGGCATCTTTCTGTGAATCTCATTTATCAGGCTGGAGTAAAATTCTTCTGCATTGGGTGGCTTATAATTCAGAGTTCCAAATGACCACAGAATCTTGGCAACATCTTTAGTTCGACAGTGTGCCACTCTAGGAGGCAAAGACGCAGCCACTGCATTCATTACTCCTTCATCCAGGAAGCGTAAGGCCGAGCAGCAGAGAGTCAGGTGTGTGACGCCTTGAACTCCCAGTGAAGGAATTCGCTGAGGAGCAATCTCTCCAAGCTGCTTCATGAAATTGATGTGATCCACATGAGTGAAACGGAACATTTTAACAATATTCACTAAGGTGTGACTACTCAGATGCTGCATGTTAGCACAAGCCAAGTCTCCAATTTTCCGCATGACAAATTCAGAGAGACTAGTCTTTGATTTAAAGAACCCCAAACAGATGGTACCAACCTCCTCTAAATTGATCAAATCTATATATTTAAGGATCAATGATTCCAATTTTTGCATTAGGTCCTGGGATACCTGACGATTTTCACCTATAACATAAATTAAGTGAACAAGCTGAGACAAGGATAGATCTTTCCAGTGCAAATTAAGATAACTAGAAAAAATGTTTAAAAACCGAGGTACTTTGCGGCCTAAGTACCTCCAGAGATCAGCCACCAAAAGGAGCTGATCCATACTCATCTCCCATACTTGATGGCAACATTTGGTCTCATACACATCTAGCATTGAATGGGAGTGAGGGATTCCTAAAATGACAAAAGCTTTCAAAACATTGATCAGATCTTGGGTATCAAAGAGCTGTATCTTCTTCACACTCAGCTGGCAGAGCAGAGCAAAGCTGGTACTGCGCAGCAAGACAGGATGCTGCTCTGCAGGCAAAGAGCTCAGCTTACACAAATAATCAACAATGACTTGGGCCTGCAGTTTATTCTGATAAACTGTGACTTTGTGCAAAATTAGTTTACTTTCTGAAACAGACAGGAGCTGAGAAGTCTCAGATGCGTTATAGCTGTGAACACGGTATTCTGGTCTTAGCTGTAGGAAAACTCGGATGTTTGCAAAGGAATCAAAAACTTCTACATCCTCTTCATCAACTCTTGTGTCCCTGGGTGAGTCCAGCTGCAAAGTGCTGGCCTTAGAGGAAGAAGTCTTGCTGAATTCCAAACCTGGGCAGGCACTGCTGGTTGTGAGGATCCTCCGAGAAGAGAAGGTGCTACAAATGTTCTTAACTTTTTTGGCAGAATGGCAGAGGCTAATGTGTTCTGGAGGGTCCTGTCCCCCATGCTGTTTGCTGCTCACATTCCAGTATGATACACTTCGGGCTGCACCACAGGCAGAAGGACTGCAAAGTGCTCGGTATCTTAAAAGTTTTAACGACTTGAGAGTAGCTGCCATTCTGGTGTCAGTATTGATCTTTTTGGCAGTCAGAATACAGTCCTCACAGGTTTGACCAGGCAATTTCTTGTTTATATGGTGCTTGATTAGAGCTGGACAGGGAGGTGTTCCACAAAAACTGCCTGGAAATCTTCCGCATATCACAAGAGCCAGGGATCACAAATGACTGGGTCAGAATTGGTGCCAGATACTGAAAAAAGGGTAGATGAAGAATGAGTGGCTTCTACCTATAAAAGCATCCAAATTTACACATTATAAAAAACAGGTTGAAACGACACTACTGTCCACTCAAGGAAGTTCAATGCCAGTAAATGCCCAAACCACATGACAGCATATATCAAGGATAAATTGTGTGCTCTGTGTAAGGGCCTAGGAAAACCCCCAACCCAGGGTACCCCTGGGCAGTTCCTGGACTGCTGCTCACCAGACTTCCTTCACTGTACAAGGCAAGCAGTGACAGCTAAAGAAGAGACGGTGCTCTGCTAACATTTGACAGGAAGAAGGAAGGCAGATTTCTAGAAAGAAGGCTGGGAACAAAAATGAGCAATTCATTCTATCTCTTTGATATCAAGGCATATAGGTCCTACCTGAAGAATATTTATAAAAACTGCTATGCTAACAGCACTAAGTAAAAAGTGGGATCTGGTATAAGAGATAATTAGTTGGCCGGGTGCGGTGGCTCACGCCTGTAATGCCAGCAAGTTGGGAGGCCAAGACAGGCAGATCACTTGAAGTCAGGAGTTCAAGATCAGCCTGGCCAACAAGGTGAAATTCCATCTCTACTAAAGATACAAAAAATTACCCAGGTGTGGTGGCACACACCTGTAATCCCAGTTACTCAGGAGGCTGAGGCAGGACGCTTGAACCCGGGAGGCAGAGGTTGCGTTGAGCCAAGACCGTGCCACTGCACTCCAGCCTAGGCGAAAAAGTGAGACTCCATCTCAAAAAAAAAAAAAAGATTTAATTAGTTATACCCACGATCATCCTCCCTGTTCTTATAGTACAAAACTGTTTATTCCAAAATTCTGTCATTCTAATGCTGTTCTTGTACTTTTTAGAAGATGCCTATTCTCCTCTCCAGGAAGCTTATAACAGAATTTGAGTCACTATTACATAGTTACAGAGTAATTCTGTTACTAGAAAGTATACTCAAAAACTCACTTATTTTGGAGGAAGAAAGCAGAAGGTTGAGAGTCTGCTCACTTTCACTTCATGGGTGGGAAGCAAAGAGTACCCCAAAGCTGGGCTCAGGGTTCAGGGAACACCAACTGACACAACTGCCCCGCTGACATCTTCTGGAGGAGGCAGCTTAGCAATGCTTCCAGTGAGTCTTTATTCTGCCTGTGAGCAGTATAATGCCCATTTTTCTCCCATGGCAGAAACTATGAGAGACTATGAAATTGATTCTGCTGTGCTCTCGCTTTCCTTAATGCTTATTCTTTTTCTTTCCATTTAAATGCCAAAGCCTGACAAGCAAGACCCAAGGAGACCTGAGTTGTCAACTGATGTACCAGACAGAGCTGTTGCTGCAGAAAACTCCATAAAAGTTCCAAGGGTGCCAGAATGATTTTCTGAAATGCCTGCCCAACTCTGCTGTCAGTCACTTTCTTCCAGAGCCCACAGCACATCATCATTTGGTTCATCATCAAAGAACAGCAGGGCAGGCCAGTGGCTCTGTTCCAGTAGCCCAGCTACACAGGTTTCTCTAGATGGCAGGAACATATGTATGAATTTCTGTGTGAATCACAGTAGAATTCTCTCATGCTAAATTTTTATACACTTGGTTCTTTACCGTGGCTTGTGGACCATTCTTTTTTTCTTTTTTGAGACAATCTCACTCTGTCACCCAGGTTGGAGTATAGTGGCATAACTGCAGCTTTGACCTCCCAGACTCAAGCAATCCTCCCACTTCAGCCTCAGCCTCCTGAGTAGCAAAAACCACAGATGCACACTACCAAACCCAGTTTGTGTGTGTGTGTGTGTGTGTGTGTGTGTGTATGCGTGTGGAAATGGAGTCTCACAATAATGCCAAGGCTGGTTTCAAACTCCTGGGCTCAAGTGATCCTCCTACCTTGGCCTCCTGAAGTGCTAGCATTACAGGTGTCAGCCACTATGCCTGACCACCTGTGGACCATTCTGCCCACCAAATTTCAATGTATGGTTCAGATCAAGGGTCAGCAGACTATGTCCTGAGAACCAAATCTAGCTCTTCACATGCTTTTGTAAACAAGATTTTTTCAGAACATAGCTAGGCCATTCATTATACATTGTCTACTTTCCTGCTACAAGAGCAGAACTGTGTAACTGTGGCAGATTGTATGGCCTGCAAAGCATATTTCGTGTCTGGTCCATTACATAAAAAGTTTGCTGATCTCTACTATACACTACTATTTCTATAAATGCAGATGGCCAGCTTTTAAAAAATTAGAAAAACTTGGCCACGCCTATAATCCCAATACTTTGGGAAGCTGAGGCAGAAGGATTGCTTGAGGCCAGTAGTTTGAGACCAGCCTGAACAACACAGCAAGGCTGTCTACAAAAAAAATTAAAAATAAATAAATAAATAAATAAATGTAATTAAAATTAGAAAAAATACAGAAAAATAGTACTAAGATAATGTTTTTCTTTAATATTTAGACGATAATTGAAGATTATAGTCCTCAAAATCTTAAAATAGTCATTAGGAAACTCAATTAATACTACAGCACAGGAAAGGTGGGAACGAAAGAGACAGCAGGATGGTCAGGCGTGGTGGCTCATGTCTGTAATTCCAGCACTTTGAGAGGCCAAGGCAGGCAGATCACTTGAGGTCAGGAGTTCGAGACCAGCTTGGCCATCATGGTGAAACTCCATCTCTACTACAAATACAAAAATTAGCCAGGTAAGGTGGCGCGAGCGTGTAATCCCAGCCACTCGGGGGGCTGGGGCACAAGAGTCGCTTGAACCCGGGAAGTGGAGGTTGCAGTGAGCCAAGATGGTGCCACTGCACTCCAGCCTAGGTGACAGAGATTCTGTCTCAAAAAAACAAAGAACCAAAAAGACAGAGAAAGCAGGTAACAGAACTCTCCAGTTGACAGAATAGGGCTTTTAAGAAGACCTACTTTTGGCTGGGCACGGTGGCTCACATCTGTAATCCCAGCACTTTGGGAGGCCGAGGCGGGTGGATCTACGAGGTCAGGCATTCAAGACCAGCCAGGCCAACATAGTGAAATTCTGTCTCTACTAAAAATACAAAAAACTAGCCGGGCGTGGTGGCGGGTGCCTGCAATCCCCGCTACTCAGGAGGCTGAGGCAGGAGAATCACTTGAATCTGGGAGGCCGAGGTTGCAGTGAGCTGAGATCACACCACTGCATTGCAGCCTGGGTGAAAGAGAGAGACTGTCTTAAAAATAAAAAAAAAAAAAGAAGTAGATCCAAAAAAAATAGCTTTAAAGGCCCCATTTTTTAAAAAAATAGCTGTGCTATAGTAAAGCAAAAAACAGAAAATGTCTGTCTAGGAGGCTGGTTTACAAGATAAATGTGTGGCAGACATCAACACATGAAAATGTACACACTAATATTCAGTGGAACAAATAGCACATAAACAAGAATTAACAAATATCTCTATAAATGATGTTAATTTTAAAACATTAAATAATTAAAATTACTTCAATTAATTCTATCTAAGAGTACTTAATGAAATTACTATACGTGGTCTGGAAATAAAAGAACCATCTCCTAGAACATCAACGTTTGGTGCAGCTCCAGTGTTCTGAATTCATGTGACTCTTTTAATCCCCATATTATTGATGAGAAAGAGACCACAAGATTAAGAAACCTGCCAAAAGTTATACAGCCAAGGGATTGAGTGGAGCCTAATATTAAAGACTGTCTGACTCCCAAGCCCACATTACTGGTGGACTAGAGAGACAAGAATGGGTGTCAGGAAACACAGGTTCGGGGGGCAGTATGGGGTGGGATGGCTGAACAATCAATGGTCTTCTAGGATTTCCAGGTGCCAGGGAGCTAGAGGGTTAGAACTAGGTAAGCCTGAAAGTCCCTTCCACCTCTAACAGTCTAGGATTCTATCACTATGGTTTATACTGCAGGTTGAATATCCCTTGTCCAAAATGCTCGAGACCAGAAGTGTTTCAGATTTTAAATTTTTTCAGTTTTTGGACTATGTGCTTTATATTTACCAGTGAGCATTCCAAATTCAAAAATCCAAAATCTGAAAAAGTCCAATGATTTTTTTTTCCTTTGAGTATCATGTTGGTGCTCAGAAAGTTTCAGATTTTGGAGCATTTTGGATTTTGGAGTTTCAGGTTTGGAATGCTCAACCTGTACTTTAAAAAAGAACAAAGAGAAGACCTCAAAGGCTGAAATCCACATGAAGGAAAGAGTTTGCGGGATGCTCCAGGATCAAAGTAAAGAGAGTTACCACAATTGAAGACCTGAAAGTTGGCAGTAGAGATATGGGATCCAGAAACTAGGGTTCAGTACAGAGAAGCAAAGGGAAACCCCAGGAAACAGGTGAAGGAAGATCCCAGGACAAGAGCTGTGAACAGACATAAAGAGCAACCAGCTCATGCTGGACGACACAGACAGTACCCAGGGGAGGAGAATCATATTTCTACCGGATCATCTGGGCACGAACAAGAGATAAGGAGACAAAAAGCCATGCTAATAAAAACAGTAACAAAAATTATTAATGCCAGGGAAGACAAAAAAGTTATACAAGATAGAATATGTTACCACAGGCAGGATGCAATGGCCCATTCCTGTAATCACAGTATTCTGGGAGGCCAAAGTGAGAAGATCACTTGAGGCCAGGAGTTTGAGACCAGCCTGGGCAATGTAGTGAGACCCCCACCTCTACAAAATATTTAGAAATTAGCCAAGCCTGGTGGCACACACCTGTAGTCCTAGCTACTCAGGCAGTAGAAGTGGGAAAATCGCTTGAGCCCAAAAAATAAAGGCTGCAGTGAGCTGTGATCCTGCTATGGCAGGGTGACACAGAGAGACCCTGTCTCAAAAAATAAATAAATAAATAAATAAATAAAAAGAATAAAGAAAATATTAGTATATCATACTCCCTATTCAGTTGAGAATAATACTAACATAGTTTTATTAACATAAATCTTGATATTAGCCTAACCAAAAATTATGAGTAAACTGTACTGGGAGGATAAAGTGACAAGAGGAGGAGTAGGGGGAGGTTGATGATACAAGAGACCTAGCGCCTCAAAGTCCATAATAAAAAGGTACAATCGGCCAGGTGTGGTGGCTCACAACTGTAATCCCAATATTTTGGAAGGCTGAGGCAGGAGGATCACTTGAGGCCAGGAGCTTGAAAGCAGCCTGGGGAACACAGTAAGACCCTGTCTCTACGAAAAGTAAAGAAAACAGTCAAGCATAGTGGGATGCACCTATAGTCCCAGCTACTCAAGAGGCTGACGTTGGAGGACAGCTTGAGCCCAGGAATTCAAGGTTGCAGTGAGCTATGATCATGCCACTGCACTCCAGCCTGGGCAACACAGCAAGACTCTGCCTCCAAAAAAAAAAGAAGAAGAAAGAAAGAAATCAAGAAATAGCAACACAAATGTGTTACTTAGAAATACAGTGGTGGCCGGCTGGGCGTAGTCGCTCACACCTGTAATCCCAGCACTTTGGGAGGCTGAGGTGGGCAGATCACGAGGTCAGGAGTTCGAGACCAGCCTGACCAACATGGTAAAACCCTGTCTCGACTAAAAATATAAAAATTAGCCAGACGTGCTGGCGCACACCTGTAATCCCAGCTACTCAGGAGGCTGAGGCAGGAGAATCGCTTGAACCTGGGAGGCAGAGGTTGCAGTGAACCGAGGTGGTGCCACTGTACTCCAGCCTGGGTGACAGAGCAAAACACTGTCTCAAAAAAAAGAAAAAGAAAAAGAAAAAAGAAATATAGTGATGGCCAGGAGCAGTGGCTCACACCTGTAATCCCAGCACTTTGGGTAGCTGAGGTGGGCGGACTGCTTGAGTCCAGGAGTTCTAGACTAGCCTGGGCAACATGGTGAAACCCTGTCTCTACTAAAAATACAAAAATTAGGCTGGGCACAGCGGCTCAAGTCTGTAATCCCGGCAGTTTGGGAGGCTGAGGCAGGAGGATCACTTGAGGTCAGGAGTTCCAGACCAGCCTGTCCAACATGACGAAACCCCATCTCTACTAAAAATACAAAAAATTAGCCAGGTGTGGTGGCAGGCACCTGTAATCCCAGCTACTCAGAAGACTGAGGCAGGGGAATCACTTGAACCTGCGAGGCAGAGGTTGTGGTGAGCCAAGGTCACACCACTGCACTCCAGTCTGGGCAACAGAGCGAGACTCCATCTCAAAAAAAAAAAGTGTTGGGGGGAGGAAACTATTATTTAGTGCTACAAGCTCTATTGAACTATTTGACTGTTTAAACCATGTACATGTACAATTTTGACAAAAATTAAATTTACAAAATGCAGGTATTATCAAGATATTATGGTATTGTTCAAGATAATGAATGGAGAAAGTAACTTAATGGATAAGGAAAATATTGAAAAGTTATTTTTAGTGCAAGCACTTTCTACTATCTAAGAACTTCTTTAAAGATGTTCAATAACAGAAATGATAACAAAATAAGGAATCTTAGAGGCATGAAGGGCCAACCTGCAAATGGTAAATAGTGGCTACTTATTCTTTTCACCATGCAACATTTACAGTAACTCATAGAAACCATATCTATATATACAGGTCTGAAATAGAGCTGCTTCAGAAGTTGGTCTTGAGTACTGTCCAGAAGGAAAGAAAAACAAGGAAGATACAGAAGCAGCAGAGAAGAATAGTAGGGAGAAAAGACACTGCAAAGAAGAAGCCGTCAGGATTACCAGATAGGGAAAACATACCTGAGAAGATTAGTTCCTCCTTACTCAAGGACTCTCGGAAAATCCATAAGAAAGCTAGATAAGGGAACACTATGATATGCTCAGTCAATTAACTCCTGACTCTTTTTTTTTTTTTTTGACACAGTCTTGCTCTGTTGCCCAGGCTGGAGTGCAGTGGTGTGATCTCAGCTCACTGCA